TTTGTGTGTATACTGTTTGTGTGTGTCCCTGGATCTTATCTTTCAGATACAGCAGCTGGTGTGATGATAGTGTCCATGCAGCAGTAAGATGTAGAAGCTGTGCTTTTATTACTCTTTCTTTTTTGTTCTACTGTTTATGTATTATTTCTCTTTCCCTGTCTCTCTCTCTCTGACCCCCCTCCTTATTTTATTTTTATTATGCATTTATTTATTTTTCTACTTCCTCTGTCTCTCACCCCTTTCTCACTTTCTCTATCTATTTTTTTCCCACTAACCCCCCCTGTCAGCTCCGGCTTTGTGGCGCAATGACATATAACCGATTAATAAAGAGTATACCTCAAGTAACAAGAGGAGCTTAAATCCGAAGCTCCACTTGGCAAAATAAAAGTGTTGGCACAATAAAGCACCCAGACTAACATCCTGCTTGCTAAACTGCTGGACACGACAAGGGGAAAAAAAAAAAAAAAAAAAAAAGACTAGCCAGAAATAACAGGACACAGGTGATCACAATCAGGAATTGACACGAGGTAACGAGGGGGCGTGGCACACACGAGGATCGTACGGAGCTGGGCATGACACCAGGCTTAACATAGCTTCATTTGGGGATTTTTTTAATGGATCCATTATTGTATGTAAAGGCATACAATAAGGCAAAAATGTGTTGAAATAAATATAATCTACTATTTCAGTTTGGAAATGTTGTGCACGAAAGTGAATACCAGCATTTGTTTTTTAATATACAGAGCAAAAGTCTTAGACAGTCAAAAGAAATGTTTAAAGCACTTTTGCTCAGAACAAAAAAACACACAATTTAGCATTAGATGATATGCGAATAATGAATAGCACAATAAAAACCAGTAAAGTTCCTGGTATCTTGTTGGGTGTCTAGATGAACACCACTTCAGCTCCCTAACCTCTCCTCAGGGGGACCCCAGCCATTGAATGTATTTATTAAATCTCACCATCAGATCACTTGATTAATTCATTTAATTCATTAAAAAAGAGAATGTGCTATTGATTAGCTATATGAGGTGTGCTGCTGGTCGAGTCGCAAGATACATGGGTGTACTGGATGGTTGCTACAAATACTGGGGTGACTTTAGCCGAAGTTTTGAAATGGCTAAGCTGACACATAATAGCATCATTGGGACATGAAGATCATTTAAACATCATTTTCTTTGGCTGCTTTTTTGCACAGTACTGCATTTATATAAACTCCTCGATAGAGCTGATGAGTGATTGACAGTAATGAAAAAATTGCAGACAGACAAAGAGTTCTAGCTTGGGAGAAGACAGAGACCAGGCAAGAGCCGGCAGAAGACCAGAGACATCACCATGCACACAACATAACATAAGCAACGCGATGAGGTTTTTTCTGGTAATAAAAAGGCTATCCACATTGCACTTAGCTAATCTATAACGACGCAAAATTACATGTGGTCAGTTCCCTAACTTCCCAGAAAGCTACAGGAAATTAAACAGCATAAACACGTCATCAGTCTTAACATGCTATAGTTTGCTCTGCCTCCTACCTTCAGTAATCCTTTGCTAACTAGATCTTACAAACTATTATCTGTAGACCTGTACAGCATACACTTAAGTACAGTAAGTACCATTTTAAAATAAGTACATATCACCAAAATTGTGCTATATTTATTTCTGGGAAATACATTAGATTTTTGCCTCCCTGACATATCTATGTATATTTCTACTGGGAATTTGGACCACAGATGTCAACAGGTTTACTAATGAGAGCATGAGACGGAATGTACAACTGTCTGTCACACATCATTACAATTGCTTTTAAAAAACAAAATTCATGCTACGAAGTTAATATCATACCAGTTAGCATAATCTGGACATGAATATCATTCAAACATCATATTCTTAGGCTGCTTTTTTGCACAGTACTGCATTTATATAAACTCCTTGATGGAGCTGATGAGTGATTGACAGTAATGAAAAAAATTTGGACAGATTCCAACCTGAATCTCATATTTACTAAAAATCGCGTAAGAAACAAAACATCATAGAAGTAAGACTTGTTGCGTCTTTAAAAGATACTATTCACACTTTGAACTTCCCATCACAATATCAGGACATACTTTCCAGCAAATATCAAGTTACTTCAAATTGCATAAATTAACATTTCATAAGAATACCTGCAAGAAACTGAAATTCAGTTGATATTCTACCATGTACACAGGAAAATGAATTGGCTTTTCATGTTTCCTATTTACTGGGTTGCATGTTTTGATGCATGAATTGTGCAACAGACGATGCACATGCTCCTCCTCTTTGAAGCCCATGACTTCAGCAGATATACAACATATTTGCCCACTGCCCCTTGCACAATCTCATGATAAGAGTTCCTTCAGTTTAAGCAGAATATCTTCAAATGCAGTGAGGCAAACAACCTTTGTTCTTTGTTTTGGGTGGAAATGTACAGTTGGCCCATGTGGATGCAATTAGAAAAACCTGTACATCTAGATGTTCTGCATCAACCATTGTGACCTTGGCCAACCACCAGTTTGTGTGATACCTAATGGTGAGGTAGTCTTCATCCTAAATGCTACTTGGAACTCTCAGTTCCTCCACGTCCTCTAATAGGCTCCTTTTTCATGGTCTTCATTAGAAGTGCCAGAGGAGTTTTATTTGTGGCCTCGGAAATGGTGGTGCAACTTCCATCAGTCTGCTGGGTGTAACTATTCAGATGATTGTTGGGCAAAAAACACCGACATATGAGTGGTTCACTGCAGAGTCAGACAGAAGCTGCCTGCAGTGAATACTGTTCCTCTGTGGTAATACTTGCTCCTGGATCACGATTTGAGTGGTTGCCTGTGAAATGTGCCATACATCAGAAACAGTGCTTCAGAAATGAAGTGCAGATGGACACCATGAAGACTGTGGGGCAGCTCCTCATAAAAGATCTCGCCATCCACTGTGTCGTTTCCTCTTAGTACATTGGTCTGTGTGTAAGTGTGTAACAGACTCGCAGGTTGTCTGCTGTCCTCTTTACTGTTGCCCCAATGCTGCCTGGGGAACCATGTGAAATGGGGCAGAAATTGCAGATCACTCTCTGAGAACTAAGACTTGTAGGAACAGCAGAGAGAAGAAGGAATTTGTTTCTGCCTTTGAACTGCTTGGGTCATCAGATCAAAAATGAGCAATGTTAATGTCTGGAAATTGTGCAAGAATATCAGGTTTATCTGGGCGTCCAATCTATTTCAGTAAGGGAAGAATACAGGAGGGCGGAGCTGGTCTTTAACAGTAATGGTGAAGCGTTATTTCTTTTTACAGTTCCCGTGTAGCACATGAGATGCTCTCTTTCTTCTTCTTTGTGTCACGTTGGATACGCTTGAGCACAGAGCGGGGAAGCAGGACAGAAGCGGTGGTCGGGTAACATGGGGATTTATTAGGGACACAAGAAGTGGCACTGGCAACATACAACGTTAGACTTCAATGACCGGACTGGGGAAACAAACTTATGCGGACTTAAATACATTGAACTAATGACAGCAACAAGAAACAGCTGGTAAACACAGGGATTCCACACGAGGTTAACTAGGGGGCGTGGCACACAGATGGAGCGGGCGATCGGGGCAGGACACTCTGTCTCCCCGCCTCCTTTCTGATACCCTGGCAGATATCCTGGCAAACTAACACACACTGAACATTTCCATTTTTTCTTAAACACATATATACAATATAAACAGGGTGCCCAATGAGGGAGTAAACAGGAGGCAGCTGAGTATGATCAACATTAGAGCAGGAACAAGAGGTGAGACAAAAGCTCTAGGCGTACCTAGTTAGGCAACGGCAAGGAGGGAACAAGTGGGTCAGGCACACAGGAAAGGCAGGACTTAACGCTAAATTGCTGTTTTAACCATTTAACCATTATCTTGAATTTCAATCTTTCAACACACATGATTGTCACCAGGGGTTAAATCAGAATCAGAGAGTAGGGTGAGCCCTGTCAGCTACATTGTGGCAGGTTGCAGAATAAGCTGCTCTGCACATTAGTTGATTGATTATCATATGTATTTATGACCACAATCTTAAGGATGCAGTATGTTTGTTTGTTGTTATCACTTTAAAGCATTACAAAATAAACTAAAAGAGATGTAACTGAAAAGTTATTATTTGAGGAGGGTGAGCTTACTCACATGTTGCGTGGTCAAATAATAGGTCCTCTTGAATTTCTTGAAGCATGTAAATGAACTTGAAAATACAAATGCATCAAAATGGCTTGTAGCGATGAGTAATATTATTGCTTATTTATTTGTAATATCCCCAAGAAAATACACTAAAATATCAGACTATTGACAAATTGCTTCTTATACATGCTTTACCTTTAGCAGAGTCTAACTAGTAAGTGAAATTTTGGCAGCAGTATGATAAGCAAAATAAGCCAAAATGCAGAAACACGGGACAGAAGTCAGTGTCATCTAGGAATATCTCATCCATTCTAGCAATGAATGTCTGGTCTGAGCAACAAATGGAAATTAACATTAAAACTGATGGAAAAAAACAGGATTTTTAGCACTAAATAGACCTTTTATTAAACCATATACTTTTGATCATTTACAAAATTTTGGGACATTAGAACAAAGGTTAACATTGAAGGAGGCGAGCTGCACTCTGTCAAGGTTCATAAGGAGGCGGAGCTGCACTCTGTCAAGGTTCATAAGGAGGCGGAGCTGGGCTCTGTCAAGGTTCATAAGGAGGCGGAGCTGGGCTCTGTCAAGGTTCATAAGGAGGCGGAGCTGGGCTCTGTCAAGGTTCATAAGGAGGCGGAGCTGGGCTCTGTCAAGGTTCATAAGGAGGCGAGCTGGGCTCTGTCAAGGTTCATAAGGAGGCGGAGCTGGGCTCTGTCAAGGTTCATAAGGAGGCGAGCTGGGCTCTGTCAAGGTTCATAAGGAGGCGGAGCTGCACTCTGTCAAGGTTCATAAGGAGGCGGAGCTGCACTCTGTCAAGGTTCATAAGTCTTGCTTGTTACACTCCCGCCTTTAATTTCACATAAATAAAACCAACCCCACCACACACAAAAACGTGATCAGTTTCAACATAGCATGACTCGTACCTTCAGTTATCCTTCTTAGCTAGATCTGACAAACTATTATCTGTAGACCCGTACAGCATACACTGGAGTAAGTACCAAGCTAAAATAAGTACATATCACCAAACTTGTGCTATATTTGTTTCAATAAATGACAGTTGCCTTTGCCTTCTTGACATTTCCACAGGGAATTTAGACCATGGATATCAACAGCCTTACCAATGAGAGTATGAGAAGGTATGTACAATTGTCTGTCACTTTTCATTACAATTGCATTTAAAAACAAACATTATGCTACAAAGCTAAGTATTCTTGAAAAGAAGAACAAAACTAGTAGTGAATTAGAAACAAATAATCTTTACAAAGCAACCAAGTACATAGTTTTATAAAATCAGGTTTTATCTATCATTTGGTGAAACCTACCAGTTTTATAAATTACATGTGTCTCGTTTCATTGTCAATGTTATAAGGCCTGAAACATGTATATTATTCTTAAGAATGCTGTTCAAAACATGTCATGCCACAAAATCTTTATTACTTTAGAACTACATTTTCAAATTATGAAATGTATTACGTAACTTTTTAAAATCATTTCATTGTAGCTCAAAAGGCTTCATTTTGGGTTTTTATGGATTGTCCACTTTTGTATTTAAACCAGGTAAAGGCAAAAAAAGTGCTTATATAAATAAAATTCACTATTTAAATTTGTAAAAGCTGCACTGTAATGGGAGAACATTCTTCAAGAAAGGCGATATATATTGTTTTTTTGACCACAATAATTTATTTGTATGGCACAGGTCCTCCTTCTGTGGCCAATAGAACGTCATTTCATTTTGCGAACGACAGATACAAGTCCTGCACAGTGGCCAGAGAAATTCTGAACCAATTATGTTACCAATCAGGCACGAAGACAGATAGTAAAATGATGAGTTTGGAAACTCTACGGAGGGGGGACCACAAATTACAATTTCAAACTTAGGGTGCAGAGATGATCCTTAATAGCCTGAATCTTAATCGGCAGTATGGATCGGCAATAAAGAAAAGGTCTGACGGTAAGGTTTACATCATGCAGTTTACAGTTAAATATAAGCGCTACCTTAAACCCATAATGCCTCTTCATTCGGGCAGCCACCTGAAAGAAGGAAGTGCATTTCATAGCACTAGGTGCAAGCTATGGTGCAAGCAGCATTTCCTCATGATGTTATCATATTCCAGGAAGATAATACCACCATACGTACTGCAAACCAAATGGTTAGTCAAGAGTGGCTTCATGAAAGTGTAAGTAATGTGAAATGACTCCATGGCCAAATCTAATCGATACACCTTCATGGAAAGTCTAAGAGTACAGAGTCTGAAGGTACCCTCTGATTGGAAGCATGCTAATTAACACCCATAATCAAAAAAGGGGATAGAAGTAATCCAGCAAAATATAGGCCAATCAGTTTAACTTGCATAACTGAACAAGTAATGGAAGCTATAATCCAAGTGAAATAGCCAACATGGATTTAGGAAAGGTAGATCATGTGTGGTTTCCACTGAAATAAAGATAGCTGGTTATGAGAAAGACCTCGGTGTGTATGTTGATGCTTCCATGTCCCACTCTCGCCAGTGTGGGGAAGCAATAAAAAAGGCCAATAGGATGTTGGGTTACATCTCTAGGTGTGTGTAGATGATGCTACGATTATACAAGTCCTTGGTAAGACCCCACCTAGAATATTGTATGCAGGTTTGGTCACCATACCTTAAGAAGGACATTGCTGCCTTGGAAAAGGTGCAACATAGGGCTACAAGAATGATTCCTGGTCTTAGAGGAATGTCTTATGAGGAAAGGTTAGCTGAGCGGAATCTGTTTAGCCTTGAGCAAAGGAGACTAAGGGGGGACATGATCCAGGTCTATAAGATTCTAACAGGTTTGGATGCTGTTCAGCCAAATGGCTACTTCAATATTAATTTAAATACTAAATAATGCCCATAAGTGGAAATTAGCGGGAGAACATTTTAAAATGAATTTGAGGAAGCACTTCTTTACGCAGCGTGTAGTTAGAGTATGGAATAGTCTTCCTGCTAGTGCAGTGTAAACTAAAACCATGGGTTTTTTAAGTCAGAGGCAGATAAGATTTTAACAACGAGCTATTAGTTACGTTCTCCTCAAATGAGTTTGATGGGCCTCCTCTCATTTGTAAATTATGTTCTCATATCTACCTACTGCTGTTTCTCAAAACATGAAGGCTATACTTCTTGAAAATTGGTCCAATAGTCCACCACACACAGCTGTGGCCTTCTATGCCAGCTCTCCTAGAAGCAATGAACCAAAGTGCGGCCCTCTTCTGTATTGGGTCCTTGATATTAAATTGAGACATTTTTGTTATTTTATAAAACCATTGTGTTTTATATTTTGACTTGTACTGAATCGCTTAATTGTTATGTATTATATTTTACAGTGACTACAGTTCCACTCAGTACTATTCCACCACTGGAGACCCAGACGATTATACACCATGCAAGTATGATAGACACGGCGCTGTGTTCCTGCCTGTGTTTTATTCCCTGCTCTTCGTATTCGGGGTGATCAGCAATGGCCTCGTCATGTGGGTCATCCTGATGTCTGTGAAGCTGCTGAGCATCGTTGACATCTGCCTCCTGAACCTGGCCGTGGCAGATCTTCTGCTGCTCGTCACCCTTCCCTTCCTGGCTCACTATGCAAGAGCAGACTGGGTCTTTGGGTCTGTCATGTGCAAAGTCGTCATGGGCAGCTACTACATCGGCTTCAACAGCAGCATCTTCTTCGTCATGATCATGAGCATCGACCGGTACCTGTCTGTAGTTCATGCCGTGAATTTCCTCCAAACCAAAACACGCAGATATCGACTCATCATGATCATCATAACGTGGATCGTAGGATTTTTGGCTTCATTTCCTGAATTAACACTCATTGATTTTTATCGACGACGTCACACAAGTTTGTGTGAAGTTGGTTATAAGAGTGAGCCAACCCAAAGAGCGTTTGGCCTGTTTAAAATGAATGTTACCAGCCTTCTGATTCCATTTTTCATCATGGTGTTCTGCTACTTGATGATCCTCAGGAGAATACTCCTCTGCAAGTCAACGAACAGGAAGACCATACGCCTCATGCTGCTGGTGGTTCTGGTGTTTTTCTGCTGCTGGACCCCCTACAACATTGCATCATTCTTCCAAGCCCTAGAATTGCTCGAAATCTACACGTCATGTAAATCCAGCAAAGCCATTTGGTTGAGCCTGGAGGTGACGGCGGCTCTAGCCTACTCCCACACCTGCTTGAATCCCATCATTTACGTCTTTGTGGGGGAGAAGTTCAGGAGGCACCTGTTTAAACTCCTGAACAGGATGCCATGCATGAAGAATAAGTTCATGATTTCCACTGCCGCATCACAGCGGTCCCAGACAAATAGAACTGAACGGTTCACTATAAATAAAAATGTCACTTCTGTTTAAATATCATATCCATGCAACATTTTAGACATATATGTAGAATTATTTTCTTTTAACATATATTCTGTCTCCAGTATAAACCTGTTCCATTTTACTTGAATAGTAAGAAATCATTTTCTTTATAATGGAAAACAGATTTTACTTCTTTTATTCTCTCTCCAAACATTTTTTGAATGTCTGTGAAATTGCTCTTTAATAAATAAAATACTGATTTCTACTCATTTTGCAAACTCCGTGTCCAAATTGGTCCCTGTCTTGTCCTGTTCTGCCCATTGTTTCCCTGTTTGGCCACTGGGTGCTGCTGGTCATCCTGTTCTATCCCCTGTGTTCCCCAAGGTTTACCACAGCTATAACCATTTTGGTTTCCCTTCTTCTCCCTGGTCCACTGTGTGGCTGAATGGACTGAGCAAGCTAAGCATCCCATAACGTTGTGAGCTAGACTTTTAGTGTACTTGTGTTCCAGAACTGTGTTTTTGGTAAAGCCCTTGTTAACCATGTCCTTTGTATTTATATCAAAGTCAAATGTTTTTATTGTCAATCCTGCCATATGTGTAGGACACACGAAGGATTGCAATCATGTGACTCCCAGACCCCACGGTGCATTGACAAGCAAGACAGACACAAGTAGGGCTGTGCGATATCATATCGATATTATATTGCGCATGTGCAATAATCACTAGGGCATTTATTTATGCCCACAATTTAAGCAGTTTAGTGGTATGGCTAAAATATTAATGAGGCTTTGTATGACGTCCAAAAGTCATTATTAGTATAAATATGACATATCCTTATGTTTAATAAATGTGTCAGACTTTGAACTGCACAAAGTACCACCACACCGCCAACGTCTTTTACCTTGTTTATCCACAAAATCTCCTCTTTTAAAAGATGTCATGGCTGCTCTTCTTCACCGCGACTTCAGGTATAGCAAACCATAGTATAGCAGAACTGTATTATGTGGGGTGCTCCGCTAATCGAATTTAAGAAACATAAAGTTTATACTTTTGGGTATCACAAAATTGGGGTCTCCCACAATGCTGACCGCTTTACAGGCTGGGTGGGTGGGGTCTCCCACAATGCTGACCACTTTGCGGGCTGGGTGGGTGGGGTCTCCCACAATGCTGACCGCTTTGCGGGGTGGGTGGGGTCTCCCACAATGCTGACCGCTTTGCGGGCTGGGTGGGTGGGGTCTCCCACAATGCTGACCGCTTTGCGGGCTGGGTGGGTCTTGTAGATGTGAAGGGGGTAGGGGAGCGGGGCTCCAGTGCTCTTTCCTGCTGCGTTCACTATGCACAGCAGGGATTTTCGATCATTGGTGGCCCAGCTTCCAAACCACACAGTGATGCAGTTTGTCAGCATACTTTCCGTGAAGGAAACCATGATCAGTACCAGGGCACTAGCTCTCTTTAATTTGCAGAGGAAGTAGAGGCATCATTGGGTTTTAACGTTAATGATAATCTCCTTTGTTTTATCCATGTTCAAGAGGAGATTATTGTTGCTGCAGCACATGGCCAGTTGGTTCACCTCATTCCTGTAATTAGTCTCATCATTGTTGACGAGATCCAGCACTGTGGTATCGTCCACAAACTTGAAGAAGAGGTTGGTGCTGTAGTTTGGGGTGCAGTCATGGGTCAGCAAGGTGAAGAGTAGGGGACTGAGCATCATCCATGTGCTCAGTGTGATGGTGCCAGTTGTATTTTTGCCAACTTGAACTGCTTGTGGTATCTCAGTAAGGAATTCCAGCAGCCAATTACAGAGCAAGGTGTTCAGATCCAGCCGGTCCAGTTTCTGTATCACCTGTTGTAAAGTAAAGACAAGGGACTCGTGCCTTTCGGTCACATTATATCTGCTTCAGAATGACACGGGTGAAACCTAAATTCACAAATAGAAGCTCACTAAATATGGTATCTTCTTACAGTATATCAAAGAATCTTTATTCATCTGTTGTTTAGAGTTGTGTCAAGGGTTGCTGCAAGTTTATGGATGTCCAACTCGGTAAAGTTGTTGTGTTTTCAGATCTATATGTAATTCTTTAACAGCCATTTTTAACAGCCTTTAACAGCACAGTCCTCTGTCACCTACAACTTTTCGAAACCAAGACTGGAGTTTGTGGATAACTGTTATCAAAGTTTTTACAGCCAGAGGTTTGTTTTGTATCCTTGTTCTCTCAGATTATGGCACCTTTTTATTGTACTGCTTGTAATAAGCTATGATTGTATGGTAAGCAACAAATGTTTTTATTATTCATTTGTATGAATATGGATTTTCAAATCATTGGTAAGCTAACAAAAATATTAATAAATTGGGGACTATACTAGTAAAATATTAAAGCTAAAGACATTAATCTGTCCTTTTTTCTCATAATGAACTCCGAACCAACTACCATGGAACTCTGGCAAAGTGACATGAGGGTGTCTCGTAAAGTCTGCCGTCATTCATTTTCCACAAGGCATGTCCCTGTGCAGGATGTGACATAATCACTCTCCGCCAACATAAGCTGCCAGGCACACATGATGATATCAGCAGTGAATGACATCCTAATAGTGGCTGAAGGATCAGATGTGGATTGTAGGGGGCATGTTAGAGGGCTAAACATGAGTAGCATCCACTGGTGATGCCGCTGATAGACTTTTCCATGTCAAGGGCAGGAAAGCAGAAACCTACTACCCTCTTAAGTTGATTGCTTGTCGGGTGGTTCAGTTTGACGTGTAAGGCAGTCAAAATGTCATCCAAGACCTGCCATGGATCCACGACATGCTCATATGAGAAGTTCCTTTTATTTATCAACAAGTAACCCATCACTGGTGACGACAAGCATGTTTAGATACCTATTGACACTGAGATCTATTTCTTAGAAGGGTGTGTCCCTTGAATGAGATGGGCATGTGTGTGTTGCAAGTCTGGGCACTCAGATGTTATCAGAGACATGTTTGAGAATGTCATCAAAGACATCTTTGATGGGGGCAGCATACATGTGGTTCAGTGGGCTAAGCCTCACCTCATCTGTGGGTGCTGGAGCAAACCCCTTAAACCTCCATGGGGAGAATTTCTCCACAGGGATCAATAAAGTATCTATTGTTATTTAGATGGTAAACATAACCACATGTTCATACTTGTTAGCAGCTGAGTGCGGCTTGACAAGATGTCATCAACAGAATCTTCAATACCTGACATGCCATATTGTTGCAGTCAAGGAGACTACGGCTGGCAAGAACTGAGGGTAGGTTGGCTGCACCTGCTACTCGTCAGTCTGAAACCTGGAATCACCTTGCGGCGGAGAGGAATGTTGACACACATGGACTCCGCGCCTCTGGAGTTTCTCAAAAGCTTGCACACAGTTTACCGTCAGGTAGCACACGTGCAGGGTGAAGGGACTGAATGATATACGGGTTAAAGTGGTTTACAGAAGCAGCTATTGCAAGAGCCTCTATTTCACAAGGTAACCATGTAAACTGGTGACCCTGCAACAGCACCGAAGCAGCCTGCAAGGGCCTTATATTCACAAGTTATATATAGGGTGGCTGCGATTCCAGTCTCCTCACAGCACCGTCGGTAACTATCCATGATTGGTCATCCAGGTGTGACGGCATGACGGTTCAGCTGGCAGAGAAGGTGGCACATGCTGTCCATCAGTCCGCAGAATGTCTTTCCGTGATGATCCCTTGTGGAAAAAAAGGGAAAGAAAAAAAGCATGATGTACTACAAAGTGATGAGAGGCAGAGCGAGCAAGAGAATGATGAGGGAATGAGAGAAGTACAGAAGGAGACGGAAGTAAATATACCACCAGTGGAGGTGAAGGAAGATAAAGAGGCAAAGCAGCAGCAGCTGAAGGATAAGCGTGAAGAAGATTGACCTTCTTCAGCTGCTGCTGGAAGTACATCCTCTGCTGGGCTTTGTCCTGCTGAGGGAACTATTGTTCATCTCCCACTGACGATGTTTGGAGATGAGCGTAATGACTCAACGGTGCTGACTGGGGAGTCACACAGGGTGACGGGGATCGGAGTTGCTGAGCTCCTCCTGAAGTCCGCTACCATCTCCACTGTCTTCAGGGCATCGAGCATGGAGTCATGCTGACCACACAAGGATATCAGATACCAGATACACCCACGTCTACAAAGACCCGCTTACACCCAGGCACACAAGTTAATAAAACTGAAGCAAGATCACTTCCTCTGCAACTCCTCAAGGAAATTCTAAGTGACACAGAGACGCCCACCGCATCCGCAAGGTGCTTTTATTTCACATTTAAAATGTTTCATCCATCTTCGCCATGCACCCCTTTGCAGCCATGGTGTACCAAGTGATAGTAGCTGGGGAGTTGCTGTGTAGAGGAGAAAGGACCAGGAGACGGTTCTTTGTCTGGGAAAAAAACGACAGGAAAACAAGTTCCGGGTGCCACCAAGACAAATGTGAAGAAAAACAAATCCTCAGT